GAGTATTTGAACCCTAATTTATTTGAATAAATTATATATTTAAGACAAATAAAACTCTTTATCAGAAATTTATTTTCGAATTATTAAAATTTTTTTTGTCAGAATTTTCATGAATTTTAAATACATTTTTTGAAGAATGTTAATTTTGTGAGAATTTCTTTACGCTAACACACATTACAAAAAAATTTTATTATAGAATTCTTAGAAATTTTAAATGTAGATTTTGTATAATGCTAGCTTTTGTATAATTTTTATTTTATACACTCTTTAGGTAAGAATATTTAGAATTTTTCTCTAAAAAATTTATATTAAACAATGTGTTTAATTCTTTTTTATTGTTTTTTTGAAAAAAATTATTTTTAAGATTTTAATTCAAACAGGTAAACACATTATTGATCGAGAAAAAAAAATCTTAATTAAAAAACATTTCTTAATTCAGCGAATCTTCCTTTTGTGTGAGTTTCACAAGTTATTGAAAACATGTTTAACTGAAAGTATTTAATAACAAAAAGATATGATGTAAGCTGTACTATGGTTGATTCCAATTTGAACTAGTTAGTAGAAAACTGTGCAGAGCGCCATTTATGAGAAATACAATCCATATGCTCAATGATTCGTCTTAATTGAAGATCATATTGCTAGAGACAAACAACGTCAAGGACAAAATTAAAGATAAAGATAACTTTCATGTAAATAACGTTAATTTACAACTAATTAAAGATAACGTTAATTTAAGACTAATTAAAGATTTCGTTAATTTACAACTAATTAAAGACAACGGTAATTTACAGTCAGTGATCATATATTTTATAAGAAAAAATTTACAAGTAGACTTTATTTTTATGGTCTTGGTATAACTTTACGGGTATAATTTCAATTCTACGATCAATGACTGAAAACTTTTTTGTCGTTCAGTGACCGTATTCTAGTGGTGAAATTCTTTAGTAAGTACCAATGCCAAGGAATGTAAATTAAAATTAATCCCCCCAATTCTGATTCTTATTGATTATTACATCTCTAATTCTTCCAACTAGTGAATTTAATTCAGCAATGAATTAAAATCTTTTAATATTTTCGATATGTTTTGAATTACAGAGTAGTTAAAAAAAGTTATTTCGCTAGCTTATCAATAATAAAATTTACGAAACATATTTGAACAAGATTCGAAAAATCCAGTAATAGGCTTAAAAACATCTAAAATATGAATTAAACTAACTTCGCATCAAACTCATTTCTTAGTTTATTGATTTTGCAATTTGCTGTACTTGGTTGCACAAAAATAAATTTTGTCTTCACGTTAATTTCATGAATGTATAAAAAATGTTCTGGGACTTGGAAGTTAAATTTATTTTTTGGTTCGGAAAACCATTAAACTTTGACATTTCTATGCAGTGGATATCGATTTATTTAGATTTCTGAAAACTAAAGTAATTTCAAGTTATCTATGCTTATTTTTGGTTGTACGAGATTGATTTACAGCTTTTGATACAATAAATTTAAAATTCTTTTCATTTTAAAATTTGGTTCTTTTTTCTAGGATAAAAGACATTGCCATTTAATGGGAACCATATAAAGGGAATGGGAAGGAGGATATAATGAGAGCCTTTTGTGGTCTTAAAAATGAACCAAGTTTAGGAATTTGCTTCGCCAAAAATATTAAAAATGTTGATACATGCCTTAAAAATAAAAGGCAATAATTAAAAATATTATTAAGAATTTTTGCAGAAGTTAATTTGTATATTCGTTCAGAATTATCATTTACATAGCTACGAAAATTAGTAAGGAATTTTGAAGTGTATCTAACAAAAATATTCCTTTTCGGTAAAATAGAGACTACATTTTAAATCAAAATATCAATAAAAGTAAAGATGAGTAAGTGATTCCTTTGAATCTCGTTTAAGAGAAAAATGAGATATCGAAGATCATAATCCTAAATAGGTGATTTTGCGGATTTTCAGTTCGTTCAAAGAAAGATATTCGAATTTATTTATAACAACAAGATTTTAATGGAAAACACTACTACATTTTAACATCATAGAATTAATTTTAATAACGTGGTTGAAGTTTCAAGTAAAACAGTTGACAGCAGTCTCTAGTTCTAATAAAATTTAATAGAATCGGATATTTGTAAATTTATTGAAAGTTCAGTTTTACTTTGGAAGCGCTACCTACGCCTTCTACAGATTTTACCGACAAACAAGTTCTTTCTTCAATCATAGAAAGTTTAAGAAAAAAATTCACTTTAATTGATTTTATTCTCGACCGTGCTTCGTGTTCTCAACGGTAGGGGGCAGTATTTGCAGAGGTTGTTTCAACTTCCGGTAGGAGATTCACTTGTATTGAAATCTATTTGTTTTATTTATTTATTTACACCATCTTTTCACACTTAGATTTTAATATAACTATTTGTTTTCGAAGGCGAGAAATGTTTTTGCAAGTGGCGGCAGTTGTTCAGCTTTTGGTGCACTATAAGTCGAAGTACTAATTTGTTATCTGAAATTAAGATGTTTACATGCTCTTAAGACCCATCGAGCAGAATTCAATGAAGTAATGCGTTAACCCCTTAACAATCGGTCAATTTTCAAGAAAACGGTCATAAAAGTGCTTATTTATTTTTTTTTGTCCTTGAAAATTATATAGAAATATGTGTATGAACAATACATATATTCCTTTTTAATTTTTGATTTGTTTTTACCTTAAAATTTTAAAATATTTAATTTTTAGAAATAGGCAACATTCAGGGTTACTTTTAATTAATGTTGGCTTTCCAGCAAGCAAGGAAAATTTAAAAAATATGTGTTTTAAACATTAAAAAAGATTTTTATTGAACTTACGTATAATATAAATAAAGATTAGTAATTTTTTCATTTCTGATAAATTTCAAAGCATGAAATACACAGGCCAACGTCTCAATCTGGACAGTAATTCCATGTTTCCTTCTTACATCTCTTATTGTTTTCATCTCTTCTGGAGAACTATTTACAATTACCTTAAAAATATCCTGGTACTGCCATCTGGTGTGTAAAATGAGAAATAAAATGTTTTCCAGACAAAAGAAATTAATTAGTTTTGTTCTTATTGGCACGTTACTACTGAACACTCCAACCCGGAAATATCACGGGAGTGAGAAATAGAGGGCGAAACCTCACCCCGTCATTTTCACGGGAGCGAGAAGGAAGGGGTTAAAGAATAAGANATCTGGTGTGTAAAATGAGAAATAAAATGTTTTCCAGACAAAAGGAATGAATTAGTTTTGTTCTTATTGCATGTTACTACTGAACACTCCAGCCCGGAAATATCACGGGAGCGAGAAATAGAGGGCAAAACCTCACCCCGTCATTTTCACGGGAGCGAGAAGGGAGGGGTTAAAGAGGAAGAACTGGGGATAAAAAGAAATAGTCATGTTCTGTTAGGACGTCTACGGAGGGCAGCAAGACGCACTCTAGGGTTTGTTTGCTTTTCCATGGTAAATAGTGAATATTAAAGGCTTTAAAAAATATATTTTATTCGGTTTTAACTTAAACTTAAAAATTAATGACAATTTTTGACATTCGGAAATATTTAGATTTTTCTAAAAAGATAATAATTGTTTAAAAGAATGTTTTCCTTTTGCGTTTTCTTTTTTTTTGGAAAAATTCAAGAAAGCTTAATTTGGAGCCAATTTTTACTAATCAACGGATTTAAACGACGAACTTTTGCCATAAAAATTCTAATATTTCTGATTGATTACTTAAAAATCAAAATTATTGTCATTTTAATTGTAACAGGAAAAAGCATTTCAGAACAGTTATTTTTTTCAGACCAATAGCTTTTCAAACATTAAAATAAATAATAAAAAAAATAATCAATCCAAACTCTGATCGAATGTTGTTTTTTAGATTTAAATACATGAGAAAAAGATGACAATTATTCAAATTCCGGAACAATGTGAATCAAAACATTTTCCCAGTTGTTTATTTTTAGTATTTTTTCCCTTATGATTGAATTTTAAATTCAATGTACAGAAGGACTTTAATTATCCACACCTCTTTTATTCGAATACTTCCGTTAGTCAAAATTAATTCCGATGCGGTTTTTTTTCCTTCTTTTTTTGTCAGTTTTGTAAGGGTACACTCATTTTTTCCCCTTTTCTTAACATAAAAAATGTCTTATCATAATTTAGCTATATTCGTGTTCTTTAAAAAATGATTGAAATACAAATTTACCGCAATTACGCAAATATTTCAATTATCTGGTGTGGTGCCTACACTGTAAAAAAATTCCGGATCAAATCACGGTAAAAAGAATTGGTACCCTGAGTGCAGCATCCGTAAAATCCATTTTTACCGTAAAATTTCATACTATAATTTTTACAGTAATATTTATTTAATTAAGGTGATTCAATGGTTTTACGGAAAAATATTACTACTATAAAAATAATGGTATACCAGATTTTTCGTTTTGTGAAATTTTGCGATAAAAGCAAATTTTATGGTAAAAAGTAGCTGTACTCAGGGTGACAGTAATTTTTACCACAGTTTGATCCAGAATTTTTCACAGTGTATCTCGATTACTACGGATGGTCGAAGTCCTACGGTACAGTTTATTAGATATTTAATTCGATGTTTTGAGTTCATGGGGCGTTTCGCAAAATATATTTAAACTGTATAGCTATAATTAACTATATAATTATAAATAACCATAGTTTAAAAGCTTGCAATTTAATTTAGAGAAAACAAGTTTATCAGCTTTAAAAAAAACTGCTTAAAAATTATAAATAATTACAAAGCGAAAAGAAATTTTATTTGAACAACATGGAGGACTTTTTGTTTCGATAGATTTAACGAGCAACAGTCAGCATTTATTGCACGGGGAGTCTTTTGCCGACGGGGATCGAACTCCTGGACATGGGCCCAGCGCCCCTACCAACCAGACTATCCCGGCGCAGCGAAAAGGAATTGAAATTTTGTGTTATAAATGTTTCATTTTGTTTTGGAGTTAAAAGTAAAATAAATGCTTACCTTTGAAATTTTTCGCCCCTCCTCGGAAACCTTCACAGTCAGGTTTGTATCCCTGTGTCGCCGTGCCTTTGATAGGTTTCCCCGTTCTTGGATGTACACACCAACAGTATGGGGGAGATCTGTGACACTGTGCCCTCACGTACAAGCCTTCCGGTGTGCAATCTGGAATATATATACCTGCACCAGGATCTTGCCTGTGACTTTCCATCGCAGTACGCCTAACTGATTTGCAGTCTTGTGTATCTGAAAAACATAAATTGCATTTTAAAATGAAGAAAGCTAGCAATATGTAATATAAGAGGATTCCCAGAAATATACTGTCAATTTGTTTCTTGCACGTGGCATGAGTGTTTGATTATAAGAAAATTAAGTAGAAGAAAATTAATTACAAGAAAATTAATTATAAGACAAATAATTATGAGACATTAGTTAGGTTATAAGAGATAAATTTGATTAGGAAATAATTTGAACGTGCTTTTTGCTATGGGTGAAAGCACACACTCGATTATACATATCTCTACACCTAGTGGTTCCCAATTTTTTTCGGCTGTGGAACCCATAATGGTTGACTTCCTTTTGGTGGAATCCCGGGTTTTAATAAATAAGTTTCATTAGCAATTGTGAATAGATTAATTAACGAAAGACTGTTAGTTATTTTGAAAATATGTAATGATCTAAATTTTATTAATTATTTTGAAAATATTTAGTGAATGATTGAAGAAGGAAATTTTTTCATCATGTTATTTTATCAATATTTAATTTTACTTGATTATATAATATTTGATTGTGTTTTAAAATAGGGTTTCGTGTCAGACAGTTGAATTTATAGATCTGAAGAAACATCTTGTCTAGTTCTTAATTTGATTTCAGTTTATTTACTACGAAGAATCCCCTCGGGTTTGAACGACTTTCCATGGGCGAGAGATTAACCGAGAGCTGAGAGACGTCCCCTAAAGCCGCTCCAATACCTCATATGTATAGGTTGTCTAAAGTAAGAACTCCCCTAGTCATTCGTTTGGACTCGTGGAGGTGACTATGGTGACGAGGTATGACTCTTTCAAGTAGGGGTTTGGGGTCATAGTTTAGAGCAGGTTTTGGCTCAAGTCGGCGAGAGAGAAAGGGAATATTTTTCTTTCGTCTATTCTGTTTGCCCTAGAGTGAAGGGAAGCTACCCTCCCTGAAATGTGCTATTCTTGTTTCCATAGCAGCAGACTGCCTCAAACTTTGTGGCGGGAGGAGTTCTTATCGTAGACAAACTATAATGGTATTTTATTTTCAATTGAATTGAAATTATTAAATCAAAACACTCTAAAAAGTAAACAATCAACGTCCCTGCGTTCCTCTCAGCAGGACGCGGTAAAATTATCAAACGTTGATGGTTCGCAGGGATAAAAAGGTGTGGGAGCACTTTGTTATAGAGTATTTAAGTAATACTGTCTTTTCTAAAGTACAAAAAGTAACCAATGCAAGAAATTCGATAAGTAAATAAGAAAAATTTAATAAATATTATGTATGTGACGTAAAATATGTTTATTTGCATTAATGTTAGCTGAAGGGACTGAATAATGCGATTCTATGATATAACATTAATCAATCCCTTCAACCATGCTTTGAGATAGTATAATACTATGCTTTGTTACCCTCTTTGGTCTCTTCATCAATGTCCTCTTTAATGGAGGGGTGACCATCATGTCGAAGACGGGGCATTGGCTGTTCTCTATCCCATTCGTCTGACTTGACTGGCAAAGGTTCTGTTGCTTCTTCATCCACTAAATAGATCGACATATTTATATTTCAACCTTCTTCAAATTGTGTGCAAGCAAAAGATAAATTAGCTTTAAAAATAGTTAGATGTAAAAGTTAAATTAGTTACAATTGCTTAGATTGAAATTATATGATCCAGATAGTGACTGAATTGATCAGCATACTGGTTCAACTCCTGGTAAAAAGCAATGATTTTTTTTTCGCCATTTGTAAATTATCAAGAAATTGTTAATTTTGACAAAGCAGTTTTTAACTAATGTTCATATAAAATAACTGTGAATTTCTTAAATTGAAATCATTTAATCCAGATTGTGACTTAATTGATGAGCGTAACCAGTTCAACCCCTGTTACAATGTAATGATTATTTTTCGTCATTTACCAACTATGTAGAAATTGCTAACTTTGCAAAAGCAATTTTTAACTAATGTTCATATAAAACAATTCTGAATCGCTTAAACTGAAATAATTTAATCCAGATTGAGACTCAATTGATCAGCATAACAGGTTCAACTCCTTTTAAAATGTAATGATTAGTTTTCGTCATTCGCGTTTCGTCATTTATAAATTGTTAATTTTGCAAAAGCAATTTTTAACTACAAAACAACTCTGAATTGCTTAAATTAAAATCATTTGATACAGATTGAGACTCAATTGATCAGCATAACGGGTTCAACTCGTTTTAAAATGTAATGATTAGTTTTCGTCATTCGTCGTTTCGTCATTAATAAATTGTTAATTTTGCAAAAGCAATTTTTAACTACAAAACAACTCTGAATTGCTGAAATTAAAATCCTTTGATACAGATTGAGATTCAATTGATCAGCATAATGGGTTCAACTCCTTTTAAAATGTAATGATTAGTTTTCGTCATTTGCCAACTATCAAGAAATTCTTTTTTTTTTTTTCAAAAGCAATTTTCAACTAATGTTCATATAAAATAACATCTTTAAAATACTAAATAAGATTAATTTTTCAATAAATCTCGAAACTGTTTAAAATAACAAAAAAATAATAGTCACACATCAGGAAAAATTAATTTTGAAATCCCTTCAATTTACTTTTACAAAGTAATCGAAAAAGTATCTCCAGAGATGGAAATTAAGTTTCTGCGAAGTTTGAGGAGGACATTGCGTGTAATTGAAACGAGAAAAGAAATTTAAAATTAAGTCACGCATTCGAAGTTAAAAAAAAAAGGGAACAGTATGTTAAATAACGGGATTAAATGTGGAAATAGAACAAAAATGAGTTCCTCAGCGAAAGCTTTTTTTTAATACTTTTTAAAACGAGATTCATTTTTGAAGCTGGGTTTTAATAATAGGGGAATAACTTTTTTCGAATTGAATTTGATGATGTAGCATTGTTTCATTTTACTTCGTTTGGAAATTCTGAGTTACATTTACAATGATACGTTGTTAAATAGATTCAATTTTCTAAGAAACATATTTAAATAACTCAATGCTGCAAAATTTCATGCTCCATTTGCAGTATATTTTCGTTATTAAACTGAAATTTTTCTTTTTAATTTTTAAAAACTTAGAAGTATAATAAATTAAATGCCACAATATTTAAATTAATTCTAAAGTGAAATAATTAAATAAGTTCTGTGTTAGAGAGAAAAGTAAGGATAATATATTACACTGAAAAAAAGAGAATAAGTTACGTAAACTTTACCAGTAACAAGTAAGAATAAATAACAACAATTAACTCTAGAGTAATTGTAGGTAAGAATCTGGAAGTAATTGTAAAAACGTTGTGTTAAATCAAAATTAGAGAAGATCTAGAACTAATAAGTACTGAGAAATAAATAAAAATCATATAGAAAAATAGTTTCAATAAGAAAATTATTTAAATTGGAAATAAAAAGTGCCTCTGTAGAGCAAGTTATTCTTTGTTAAATGGTTCAAATTGAACGGAAATATTAAAAAAAATGTCAGGTTAAATGAGAATTAGCTAAGATCTAGAAATAATAAGTACTCAAATAAATAAGAATCATATAGATAAATAATTTCGCTGAGACACTTATTTAAATGGAAGATAAAATCTGCCCTGTAAGAGCAAATTATTCCCTGTTAAATGGTTTAAATTAAACAGAAACAGGAATCTTTTGTTCAGACATCAAAGGTTAAGAGACGAGACCGCAAAATTTGGCTTTTATCCGACGTATATCTCGGGCTGGGGCTGAAACGGATTAAAATTTTTCAGGTTCGGTCCGCCCCGGACCTATAAAAACGACCCGAGCTCATCACTAATATCGGTACTTAGAACAATAATACCATGCAATCTGGTGTAACCTTCCCACCAAGGTGCTAACTTGTTAACGGTGCCATTCCAAATAAATCATAGCATTGAGTACTATACTAAGAAATTTTGTACAATAATACGGTGCAACCAGGCCCCATATCACGGTATTAACAAATATTCACGATAATATGGTACATTTTGTCATTTTATCATGGTTGCAGCAATTTTTACAGCCCTATTAAGGCGCAATATGCTCCGATATTTTAAAGTTTATGAAATATTGAGATTTTGAATTTTCTGATACATTTTAACATACTACACAATAGCATAAATTTTATGTAAAATATTCTTTTAAAGAATCAGTACTCACATTTGGGGGAATCATCCAGGAATCCTGCCACCGCATTCACCTGTTCATCTGAGTTCAGAGACATAAACAATCGGAAAGAAACTACTTGTCAAATAAGTAAATACCATTCTATTGGACGCAATGGTCCAATAATATTGCACTTTGTCCCGGCCAGGCCGGTTGGGTTTGGACGTCACAATTACACTCATTCTGACCTTATACACTACATTCGATTTCTGAGAGGGTGTTTTTATGCTCGTAATGTGTGTTACTTAATGACCGCCTTTAATATGTATCTTTATAGAAATCGGTTTTTAGGAGCATATTTGTATGTATGAACGGGGTGTTACCTAATGACCACCCTTATTACATATTTTTAGGTTCTTTGTCAAAATGAGAGTCAAGCAACTGAAGATCAAGTAATAATAATGTTTACGCAATCGAAATATGACATATCACTGGTACGGAAGGCAGGATTAAAGCCATGAAAATCTGTTTGAAAGATCTTCAAGTTGTAGTTAGTATTCATTAGGTTTAATTTAGCAATGTTTGAAACGTTTTAGAATTTAGGCAACTTACTGTATAATATATTATTTTAAACGAGATTTGAATTATTATTTTTTAATATAAGTTCAAATTGTATGTTGGGAAAAAATTAAAGTAATGATAAGTTGCTTAATAAATCTGAAGAATAAGAAATTAATTATTACCTATCATAAATTAATTGAAATTAATAAAAGAATATGCGAAATTTAAATTACGGTTTTCATTTTAATGATTTTACGAAATATTTTAAGCAAAATTTCGCATAATTGACCCAGTTAGCTTTATTAATAGAATTGGTAAAGAAATATTATCTATTAATAATACATTGTATTAAAATTATATGTACATTATGCTTGGATAAGAATTTTGATTAAAAATTGCCGATCTGGAGTAGGTATTATTATTTTATGTAATTTATTAACGGTGTTTTATCATTCATTAAATGAAAGACCATTTATTTCACCCTTTAATTATATTATAGCTAATATATATTAAAAAATATTTTAATTATATTTTAGTCTTCTATTTTAAATTTTTATCCTCGGTGGTCTTTAAGATGCATCCAAGCAGCACATTTATTTCCTCATTCATTCAAACACAAAAGACGTAAACAACATAACAAACAAAACAGCACAAAACAAGCACAGCAATCACAAACATCACAGAACTAGAGACATACATATAAGGACAACACGGAACAAGTACATAAAGACAACACAAAACATATATCACATAACAACATACAACAATAATAAAATTGCACATAAAATATAAATTTTGGCATAACATATGAATGAAAAGTAAAGCTTTAAGAATATTCAATTTTAAATACATTGCAATAATAAGACATAGTAGAAAGGCATTTAAATTTTTTAGTATGAATTTAAAGTAAAATAAGATGGATACTAATATTTTTTCATGAGTTAATTTTTAAGTCAATATTCTGGATGCATTTTGATTTCTCCGGGAGCTGGAGATTTTAAAGGATATCGGATTCAAATAGCTTGATTTTTATTTATTTTTGTGCAACTCGAAATAATGCTACAGAAATTAAATAAAATCGATCCATAATATAAATATGATTAAGCAGACGGCTTTAAAATAAAAGAAAGAGAAAACATGCCTTAAAACAAATTAATATTTAAAGTTAAAAGCCATTACTAAAGTTTTAACAACAGACGAGAGAAAATTAGAATTTATTCAACAATGCAAATATTTCCTACCGATATAATGTGTAAAATTAAGAGTGTTATTCAAGCTTCAAATTGTAAAATTTTCAACCATGGCAAGAAAAGATTTTTATGTTAAGTATTATTTAAATTAAGTACTATTTTTAGCCATTAAAACAAGCCTGCCAGCAATTTGTTTGTTTTAATTCAAATGTAAAACAACTAAATAAAACAAGGATATTAAAATTTTTATTTCAAAATATTTTAAGAGTTTCATAACTAGTATACACTGATAGAATTTTCATTTTAAAATTAAAAAAAAAAAACGGTAGCAATCTGTTCATTCAATTAACCTTAAAGTTCGCTGTTAAGAACAATATTTACTTTACAGCTAGAAACCATGAAAACAAAATTATACGGTTTTTTAACCATTTACAACTATCATGCATGGTTTCAAAACCGTAAAAAAGAAATTTAACTGAGCTTTTCGTTAGGCTATGTATGGGCATCGGAGTTAGGTTGTGGTTGAGTTGTGTTTTATTAAATGAACCGTGGAATGTAGTTTAGTTAATTTATCTGGTCTGTTTCACCTATTGTAAGAGATGGGTCTATCTGTCATCTATGCCTTATTGAGAGTATCGTATTTTAATAGTCCAGTTCCACAAATTGGAGACTACAGGACAATAAAAACTCTTCACGTGTTTAAGGGAATGGAGGAAATATTGTGGTGTCAACGCTGGTTCTGTCGGTCATGAGACTGACAGATTAGCCTTTTGGGCAATAATATGTACCCAGCTGTAAGAAACTAAGTGGTTTCATTAGAAGGCCCTAGTTAGTGCAATAAAATTCTGGTTGCTTAACATATTAGTTAAAAGCAGTTAATAAACGGTTTTTCTCAAAATAAACCATTTTAATACCATCTTATTTATGGTTATTTGGCTGTTTTGTTTGGATGTAGTAAAATAACAATTAAATAAATTGTCCTTAACCATTTTTTCCGAGAAATTTCTAACAGCGTATTATGGAAATTTAAATTACATCATCAAAATTATCAACTTGTTATACATTTTAGCATAAATATGCTTAAGATTGTTTCTCGGTTACCCAGACTTCTAAATCTCATAGTAGCATCTATTCTACATCTATTGTATCATATTCTGCATCTATTGTAATTTGTTTTAACTGTAGAGTAAAATTTAAAAACGCAGTTTATTTATTATTATAGAAAAAACTAAATCAAATAATGATAATTCTCTTATAAGATGCCTGGATTTTTATTGGTTTGGATATTATTTTTCAAATATACGCTTTAATTTCTCCAACTTATTCAATACGAAATTATTATGATTATTTTAATTGTATCAACTAACAAAGGTGTGTGTAATTTACTCTTCTTTCTTTTTAAAACATTATAATTTAATAGCCTTAAGGATTTATGATTTTTTTTTCGTTTATTTCTACGTTTACTAATCTCAAATAGATTTGCGAAACACATTTAAAAAATTTAATGCAATTAGCATAACATTTAATAAAGAGGGATAAATGTGGCATTTCTCAGAAATCATATCTAACGTTCGATAAATATAGGTTTTAACTAACTTCCCTAACTTATTTAATACGAAATTATCATGATTATTTTAATCGTATCAACTCATAAAGTTATGTGTGATTTATTCTTCTTTCTTTTTGAAACATTATAATATAATCTAGTAATTTCTTTGAAATCATTTGTATGTTTTTATTAAGAAAAGTTGCAATGAGTTTCTTTCCAAAACAATGTAAGTACTTTTGAAAATTTTATTGCATACAGGCGATAATACATTTTTTGAAACTTTTAATTATCTTAGTGCAAAAAATTTCAGATTTGTCTAATGAAAAGGAAATACAAATTGACGGTAAAAGAATAAAATTGCTTTGGAGATAAAATTTTAAAAAAAAAGTAAATCAAAATAAAATAGTGCATTGATTATTCAAAGTGAAGTCGAAAAAACAATGATATAAAAATATTTGGTTAAAATTTCGTGTAGCAATCTGAAGTAATCAGTTTCTATTTAATAATAATTACTTTTAAAGGGAAATTAGTGACTTGATTCGATAAAAATTTATGTTTATCTGAAAATAAATGAAATTTTTTTATTCTAAACTAGAATTTTAACAAAAAATGCTTAAAGTAATGTTATTAAATTAGTTAAAAAGAAATGTTTTTAAGCATTTTATATAAAACTGAAAAAATATGGTTTTTAAACTTCAAGGCTGGATTTATTTGGAAAATTTAAGATTTTTTAATGAACTAAATTAATTTGAGATGCTGTTATAAATTATTTTAGCTGTTACAAAATATAAATACTTTGCAACAGCTTATAAGTAAAAATGCTTTTTTTTTTTACATATTTGATTTAAGCTGTGTTTCGTAAAACAAATGTTTCTTAAACAAACTCACAATTAATTTAAAAGAGGTTAAATATGCAAATGAGGTATCTGAAACTTACTGTTTATATCGACGCCCACGCAAACGGACCATTCAGATCTTGAAATTTTTTTATCCTGATCTAAATCACAAAACTTGGCGAAGGTTTTGGCACACATCTTGGGCTTCACGATTCTTTTTGCCATCCGCCGCAGATCACGTAGTTCTTTTTTCTTTAAAAAAGAATCATTGTTTCCATCTAACTGATCAAACTTCCACTGGATTACTTGCTTTTCATACGTATCACGAAGCGGATCGTTTTCAATAGGAGCTAAGTAATAGAGAGGAAGAAGAAAAAGAAAGAAAAAAAAGCGTGAGACTTTGTTTTCAAAACTAAGACATAGTGAAAATAAAACGAATTTCATGACGTGCTTTATTTCGAAAATTGTTTCTTCGAAATATAATCTGTAAATAGCATGGGAAAACTTTATCCTTAGCATTAAACTTTTGGAAGTGTTCCCGACTTCATATTTCTAACTGGTGTAAATTGTTTCCGTTTTTTATCGGGTCACGACTAGATTTTGGCAACGTATACGTGTTCATTCAGGCAACTATATTAGTAAAGATTTTATTTTATTTTATTTTATTTTATTTTATTTTAAAACGGTGTTAAGAGCGGACCCAATTAAGTTGACGACTATCAATGTTCACCTTCATAGCATTTCAATTTTAAACCCAACCCTGAAGACAAGCGCACTCCTGGATCCAGCATTGGGACAAACTAGCTTTCATAAAGAACTTCTTGATGGAACTAACCCTCATTCAAGTTACATAGTTACGAAATTTTCCCAGATGAGGCGAACGCCCAATCTCCTGAGCCATCGCGGAGAGATCATTCAGGAGATTTGAGCTCAGGAGATTGGGCGTTGGGTTTAGGCAATCCAATTTCGTGAACACGACATGAGCTGGTACCCGTCTATCTGGAACTGTGCAGACTTCGAGCTGCCACCGGCAGTCACATAGATTATAATTCATTTAAATGGAATCAGTTGATATTGATTTGTTTTTCTATTCCATTAGTTTTACTACGTGGAATTGATTTACTTGATTCTACTCAGCCATACCAATCAGTTAAGAAGTAGATTCAATTCAAGATTCAAGTTATATTTCTAAGAGAATTTATTCCATTAGGTCAAATGTCTACGATGATGTAAAACTGTCGAATCTATAGTTTCTGTTAGTTGTGGTACTCAAAGGTTAAGGGAACGGCATCGGCTATACTTTTAAATCTGGGGTTATTAATAGTGAAACAAAATCCCTTATTTCCAAGCATATCATGTATTTAGAATAGCTGATGAACGAAATGGAGTAGATCTGAAACTGGTGTACATATTTTTAGACTACATCCTCTTCTCAAAAATGATCTAATTTTAGTGATTCTATGAATAGAAATTCGGTGCTGCCATCTAATGTGTGAGATGGAGAAATGAATATTGTTGTTATATGGTAAGTCAGATGGATAAATGAGGTCAGAATTTGACATCGAAGAAGTAATATGAGATTTAGAAATTAGACAAAGGTTGTGCACGAGGCTTTTTAGTCTGTGGTCTACTATGAAGTACAATGCATTTTTGCGATACATTTGAACAGCAATGTAAGAATTTTCTCAAACAAAGTTTAATTAACCAGGCATAAATGACTTATTGGTTGTGGCATAATAAATCTATGTATATTATCGCAGTCGTTCTTGCTTGTCGCTCTTAATTTTTTACTTGAAGCACGTACTAATGAAATGCATGAATCGTTCTAACTTTGCATGTGATAAAAAATTAGTTTTCAGCGATGAAATTATTAATGGTTTTTAAAAATTGTAAATAAAACCACCATCAATTATGGACATTGCAGTTGCCATATGAGTTCCTCAATTTAATGTATATAAATAAAATGTATCATTTATGCAAATGTATCCTTTTTGTGTATGTAACAGTTCTTAAAACTAAGATCAGCGTACACTCATTAAGTCTAAATAGCTAGAAAATAATGATCAGGTACTTGTTTTTAGCTTGAAGTACAGATATTTATCACTGTACTTATGTTATAATTACAACATCTCTATAGATGGCATTAACACTAAATTCTTTCTCTTTCAAATTTTGAGACTAATATCACTCATTCACTTCACCAGATCATTATTCAAAGCAGTTTTATGTCCTTCTCGTATTATTAAATTTGATACCTTCTTAACATCTTAATGAGCCGTGATGGCTCAGTGGTTAAGGTACTGAACTGTCATTCTGAAGAACTGGGGTTCGATCCTCAGTGGCGGCTTGCAGCCAACGCAATCTACAGATCGATTTGAACCAGTTTGTCGAGGAAGTAAATGTGGTCTGTGCCATAGTGCTAATCACATTGCCCCAATAATATGACGTAAGTCACGAAATTGCGGAGGCTTAACCTCCTTGATTTAACCACAACGGACTGTAGTAGGAATGCTCAATAGTTTTAAGTTTGTTTGATTCGTCCATAAACATTTACGTTGAAGAGAAAGGTCTTTGTGAAGTGTTTAAAGTAAATCGTGAGTTATGTGCATTCTAATTATAAAATTTACTTACCAGGTGTCGTCGTATGTGGAACACGATCAAATTCAGATTGAAAAATATCAATAAGATTGGCATTGAAACTGGCTCTGTCAGTATTAGCACAACCTGAAAGAAGGTCATACATTTTTCAATTTTACTTTTAAAAAAATAAAATTATAAAACGCAACACAAAATATTTCAATAAATAAAAGTTAATTTACTACACGATGCCTATAATACAGATTGTGAATATTAATATACAAATTTGTATGATTTATTACTTTTCATACAAATAATAAGATGTTCATTGTTAGATAAGAGCAAGGCTTCTAGCTCTGCCATACCAATTATCATTTAACGTTTTTGATTTTAAGGAAATTTAGATTTAATCAGTTCTACGCACTGACTTACTAATTTCTGCAAAATTTCAGGTAGGAGCAAGTTACAGCTTAATGTTTTGAATTGATTGTTAACATAGAACTGGAACTGCACTAGCCATGTATTGACGACAAACTAGAATTTATGTTTAATGATGTTCGAAGACAACAGTAGGGCATGTGTGTATCTGACTAAAATATAAGGCAGATGGTAGAAGTAATTACCTAATTTCTGAAAAAGTTTGAGCTAAAATCAACTCTAGGAGTAAAACCCATGCCCTTTTACATGAATTTTCTCCTCGACTTGTTGTTTTTAACCCTAACCGTTTTCCTGCACCTGTCAACTACTTAAAGCCACTTTTTCGCATTTTCACATACATATTCGCTTACTAAAAATATAATAAATGGACATTTAATGCTCAAATTTAGTTTTAACCAATTAACAAAATATAAGGCAGTAAACTGCATAATTAGTTAAAAGAAATTCCTCTTTCTTTTATTTTCTAACTCTTTTATTTATTAAAAAAATTTTTTTATCAAAGTATAACCACCCTCGGCCCTCCTCTGGACCATTAACTTACTCAATGCACATATAAGACTGCTGTAAGACCTTGCACAAGAATCTACTAATGAAATGACACAGCGAATTAGCAAAGAAAAATTTGTTTCATTTACTTAAACATAAGAAAACAAAATAAAAACATTTTTTAGATTTGAAAAGCAAGAGAAAAACTTTATTTTTGTTTTTATGACTTTTGAACACTAAACTTTTCATTCTAACACTTTCATCAGTCATCTCAGTAGCCTTAAATTATTCTTATTCATTATCTTAGGATGTCAGTCCACTCTTAAAAAAAATCCCAAAAATACCCATTTGTTTGATGAGTGCAAAATTTAACAACTTTTATTTTGTATTGGCCCAAAGTAACCCCTCAAGATATAGGACATTAACTTTTGAATCAACTTTTGAATTTCCTTTGTTCGTGACTTTATTTATTATATGCACTTATCTCTAGTTATTAAAAATCAATGAATAAAGTTAAAAGCACCAAATCATAAACATAAAAGTGAACTAATGAAATCATATAAAACTATTAAATAATAAATAAACAAAATAAAATAATAATAAGCATAACATTCACCTCTCTTTATTTTTCTTCCCCGGGAAGAACGCCTCCTATTTGTCCTTCTACCTGTTAATACGAACATGAACAATAAGGAAATAGATAGTTAAAAGTTAATTTAGTATTTTATATCTGACCGCAACTTAATCATTTGGAAATATTAAAATAGAAAACTACTCAAAGAAATAAAATATCCATAAACAATTTGCCAACATAAAAAGTAATTCAAACTCTATTTAAGAACATCATTGCACTTTATATGGGAAAGTTGCATTTTAACTCATTACAAATTGGATATGAAGAAATTAACATTTTTATATAGAGAATAAACGCTTCGGGCAAAAGCGGCTGTCGTAATGATCCATTCCATCAATGAAAATCAAAATAAATTCGTTAAGCGAAAATAAAAATAAATTCGTAAAAATAAATTTATTACTTCTTATACTTCTCATAAGAGGAAGTAACACATACACGTTATATCACAAATTAAAACAAATGAAATGAAAATCTCTTTTGAAAAATATCGATAGATAATTATAACAGAATAAAAAGCGGACCTCCCCGAATAACTTTTTATCCCAATGATGGGATCTTCATGTTTTAAGTCTCAACCTTAAAGATTCGAGTAGGTGTCCTCAAATATGCGAATTAGAGCAGACGTTGTTTCAAATTACGAATTCAGAGACGAATACATACTTTCTCTGAATAAATGTAGCTTTTTTTTCCGACTCATTATGATTTCTGACACCCAAAATATAGGAGGTAGCCTCAATCTGGGAAATAGGGTCGGAATAGTTTGGACAAGAGAGCAATACAAAGTTTGGATCCCTCAATGTTAATTTTATTTCTTTCGTACTTCGTCACATCTTGAGAACCTCTAATTTCGTTTTTCTAATGATGATTTCAGACAAATATTAACTATTAATAATTATTTATTATTATTTTATTTAATAATAGTCGGAAAAACTTTGAATTGGAAGAAATACAAATTTTACATCAATTTAAAAATTTTTTATTTTCTATGGCAAAATACAAAATTTGAACGAAATTAGTTGAAAAATTTCTAAGAATTTAAGTTCTAGATTGGAAATTAGGTAATAGATTGTGTATGACCGAATAACCATTTAGCTCGAGAGCATTTAGAGCGAATGTAAAGTGATGCCAAGATGGGTGAAGAATGCGCCAAGGACTGATTTTTATTTGCAGAAGGTGAGCTAAGTGAGGGCATTTATCGTCGAATGTTTTCTATTTATGGCGAATACTTTTTAGGATAAACAGTTATGGACTATTGGTATAAAAGTTAACATGACCTAGAGCAAAAAAACACCATGATCTGCAAGGAATCAATTATTCCCTTTGATGAATCAATTACTACTACTAAATCCTACTCGTAACATGTGGTTGTCTGAGAAAAGGATTTTGTTCTAGATGCATTTTTCTTAAACTATTCACATAAAATGTTCTCATGTGAACTACTTAACCAATTACACACAGTTTTCGATGCCCTCCACTTACCTTTCTTTTAAAATTTGAATGGTGAGAGCTGCCATCTGACGTTAACACTGACGTGACCAATATCCTTATGAAATTACTCAGTTGCGTATGCAGAAGTTTATTAAACGTTATTGTAGAGATTATGATATGCAACTTAATTTATTATTAATTTTTAATTTTTGTAATTTAAAATTTCAAATCATATTATTAGTATTGCGGCACAAAGAGAGATAATTATTACAGCTATCTATTTAAATTACGCCTTTTTGTAATCTCCAAAATTATTTGTATGGTTGCTGATACCTAATTTCAATTCTGATCATTTTGATTAATTTATTCAATTCAAATGATTAACAACATCTTATTTTGGATACGAAATTTCTCTTTATTTGTGACTGCACTACCCTAAGAGAGTGAAAATCTTATACTTCTCCTCGGATAAAATAAAAAAATCCAGTTAAAAATACTTATCCGCAATCAACTTTCGCAATATATTTTTACTTCCGAATAAATAAATAAAAAAAGAAGTTTAGAGAAAATGAATCACTTCCAGTTCACGTTACTCAAAATGTCTCAGCGAGAGGTCAGAATGCAATTATAAATTTTGAATCACAGCACATAAGAAGAAATCGTAAGGGCGATCTTTTTAATACAGCAGTGATCTTCCTTCCCAGTCAATAAAAGCGCGACGCCTCTCCAACACAATCTTGATTTATCAGCGCATTTAAGAACAAAGACACGAAAGCGTAGGTTTGAGTTGACAAGCTGTTGTCTATTAACCTCAGTGTCAAGCATTAATTTTATTGGCCATTAAAACTGTTGAAAGAGTAGTGTCATAGACTCTATATGGGTTGCTCTGGTCATCAAACATTGTTTACCTTTACCTCTTGGGAAGTTACGGATTGTTCATAGCTTCAACCCACGCCACGGAGAGGCGAGATATATACATAAAAAATAGTAAGAACGGGGTTACTTCTACTGTGTCAGAAACATTTAAAATAGTTTTTCTTTCATCTTAAAATATAGCAATTTCCCAATCATTCGTAACATGGATTTTCTGTTTAGCGATATATTAACGGACTTTTTATAGAAAAAAATATCTCGCGAATGATGCTATAAATACATTTTTATATGTTACTGATTCTGTCTCACAATAACTCGTCTGTTACTATTGAATACCACGATATTTCGTCCCCATTGTCTTATTACATAGGATGAATTTTCTGTTTAGTGATATATTCACGGACTTCTTATAGAAAAAAATATGTCGCGAATGATGCCATAAATAAATTTTTAAACACTGCTAGTATTTTGACTATAAATTTCTATACCACGATATTTTATATGCTACTGATTCTGTCTCACGATAACTTGTCTGTTACAATTGAGTACCACGATATTTCGCCCCCATTGTTTTATTACATAGGATGAATTTTCTGTTTAGTGATATATTCACGAACTTCTTATAAAAAAAAAATATCTCGCAAATGATGCTATAAATACATTTTTAAACATTGCTAGTATTTGGACTATAGAATTCTATACCACGATATTTTATATGCTACTGATTCTATCTCACGATAAGTTGTCTGTTACAATTGAGTTCCACGATATTTCGTCCCCATTGTTTTATTAAGCATTATTTATTTTTAATTTTAGTAACAATTTTCAGATGGTTCAAAACTTGACAAAATCGCACGGAGATGAGATGGCAATATAAAACAAATAGAAATAACGGACTCTTTTGCAGTGTTAGTGGCATTTAAATTAGTCCTCTTCTATAATCTTTTAGAAATTGAATATAACCTATTCTGGATTTTTCGTGGGTGGAATATCAGTCTTGCGTATTATCCGTTAATTTTTCAAGGGAAATCTCTCAAACTATATGAATTGATACAATTAATACATTTCTTTTCCAAGAACATACACTCTTTTTTATGTCTTGAACACAGAATATTTTATCCTGCGATAGCTTGCTTGCTACACCGACCGGCCTGTGTAGGTGTCAGGAAACTGTCCTTGCAACAGAATGGTTCTGGGTTCGAATCCCGGGCAAGGCTTGGATGTTCTTTCCGTCTCTGTACTATCTGTCCTTACTGTGGGAGTAACGTTGGCCCCCACCTAATCTGGTGCCCCTGAAAGAGTGGCCAACAAATCTGCACTGTATGACGAAAGGTCATTCTCCAGGTCGGTATTGAAAAAGAAAAGCTTGTTTACCACATACTAGGCTCCACAATATTTTATTTGTTGCATATTCTGCCCCTTGATATTTCGATTAAATATTATCAATTACAATATTATCAATTAAATAATGTCTTAACATTTTGTGAATCAGACGCAAAATCTTCTCTTCCACCCATTTCTTAGATCATCAGGAGTATATATATATTGGACTATAATTAAAAACGCATAAAGAAACTTTTGTCGAAAAAGAAAGTAATAATAAAATATTCAAGAATTTACTTTTATAAAATTTTATATTCTTTTCCATATTCAAAGAGTTTGCATTCTTAAATTATTAGTTATAATAAATTGGTACGAAATATATCAAATATTATAATCCGTAGATTTAAATTACTTGATTTGAATATAATATTCTTTATTTATTTCGACATTGATCTGAATACGTTGATTTCAATCAGTAGTTTTCGAATTTTATCAAACAAAACTATCACACTTTGAACTATTTTCGTTAAAAAGATTATAAAACTCCAAACTGATTAGAAAACGAAAACTGTTTAAGTAGTTATGTCTATAATATTTGGTACTGTGTGCTCTTTTGACTTAAGTAATTATTTTGAAAATATTAACATTGCTATGTAAATATTAATATTACTATGTAAATATTATGATAAATCATAAATTATTTGCTGCAAACTAATTACAGCTTTAAGTTGAATCCTATCATATTTCACATCTTAAACTTAATTACGCAATGCTAAAATTAAACTTAAAAGGAAACATGGTTAAGGTTTCAGCTAATTTCACCATATTGGTGTTCAACGTTTTAAATAAAGGTAAAACTTTTTTTACTGAGGATCTATTCAACATAAGGATATTTGTTTTAAGTCGAGCATTAATATACAGTGCACAAATAAATAAATAATAATAAATAAAAAAAACAGAACACCCTAAATAACTTTTGATATAACAATCGGATCTTCACGTACTAGGAATCAATCTTAATTATTTAAGAAGCTCAAATGAGCTAATTAATGAGTGCAGACGAAAATTGCATAACCAGAAAAAACAAAAACGTACTTTCTCTAAATAAACCAAAACTTTTTCCACCTAATTTGGATTACTAACCAAACTAATATTGGAATAATATTTTCTAGCTTATAGCTAACCCCCATATTTTGAAGGTCAGAAATCCAAGGAGAAAGTACGTTTTTGTGTCTGATTTCGTAACTGAAAAAATCATCTGCGCTAATTAATTAGCATATATTAGGTAATTGAGGCTAACCATTAAAATTGTGCGCTGTCATGTGAAGATCCGATCATTAGTGTAAAAGTTATTCAGGTTGTTCCTTTTTTTTTTTTTTCTGATCATTTTGNTTTTTTTTTTTTTTTTT